AATAGGATGAATGTGTGGATGGACAAAGAAAATTTTTTGGTGATCTATTAAAAGGCATTCGAAATATTTTTACAATTTTTGTTGACATTTTGAAATTTATTTTAAAGTTTGGTGGGGAGTTTGTTAAATAAAAATATAAATCAAAAGATGAAATTAAAGTTTTAAGGTTTTACAATTATTTAAAAACAATTACAATTGTAAAATAGAGAAAAAATAAACTTGTTTCAAAACAAAGTTTTAAGTTTAAATAAATATAAACAAGTTTTACAATTATTAAATTACAATTGTAAAATAGGCAAAAATAAACTTTTCTCAAAAACTTTTAAGTTTTACAAAACAAGTTTTAAAACAAGTTTTACAATTAAATATTAATTACAATTGAAAGCAGACAAAAATTAAACTTGTTTCAAAACAAAGTTTTAAGTTTAAATAAACATAAAACAAGTTTTATAATTATTTAAAAATAATTACAATTGTAAAATAAATAAACTTTTTCTCCACAAACAAAGTTTTAAAGTTTTAATTTAAAACAAGTTTTACAATTGCTTAGAACAAAAATAATTACAATTGTAAAATAGACAAAAACAAACTTTTTTTCTTCAACATAGTGTAAAGAGCAAAGAGTAAAAAAGATGGAGTAAACAAATAATTAAAAAAAAGTTTTATTTGTATTTCAACATTTTCCCAAACATATTTTTAAATAAAACACGTGAACATTCCCTTTGTGTTTTTAATAAAAACAAAAGTTTAAACAAAAGAAAAGTTTAAAAGGCGAAAGTGAATATAGTTTAAATTAAAAAGGTTTTGATATTTTACACTTGTAAAATACAAAAATTCAGATTTTTAAAAATATTAAAAAAATTTTTTTCAGAATAATTAGAAAAATAAATTAAATAAATTAAATAAATAAAATATAGAATTAGAAAATAAAAATTAATTTAAATAAAAGTGTTTATGAGGGGATAAAAGCAATTAGAAAATATGGAAGCCATTTTTAATAAAAACACGTAAGTAGAAGCCGATTAGAGGATTTTTCAAAATTTCTTGAAAATTAATTTTTTTTTAAAAATTATTTAAAGCAGAGAAATCCTTTAAATTGTAGAGAGTGTTAGCTAAAATATTTGTATTGAGAAATATGCGAAGAGAGAGGAGGATAGAGGGGGAGGGGAATATTAGTGACACGTCTTCCTTTCTACAAGCATCCGGCAAGAGTAGCAAAATAAAAAATGCAAATAGGCAAAAATAAAAGAATAAATTTTGCCATTATTTCAAGTCGTCTGCCTTTTAAGAAGAAAGTTTTTAGAAGAAATTTTTTCGAAATGTGAAAAGGGTGGAAATTTTTTATTCTGTCGAATAGCAAAAAAAGTCTATTTAAAAAACAGTAGGTTGGAAGGGTCAAAAAAAAGTTTAGGTTTACTGGTACATATAAGTTTTTGGCAACTTCGACCCATCCCTCATCTAAAATGCGTTATTAAAAAAATAAAGCATAATTAAATTCCTAAATTCCTAAACATTTAATTCCTAAAACTATGCACTAGGCGGCGTGGTGTAATGGCTATCACATCAGTCCGGTCTACTGAACATGCTGGTTCGCTCCCAGCCGCCGATTAACCTTTTGCTCTAGCTAAAGGAGATATATAGCTATAGCCCCGCTGCTTTATTAGAAGAGAATAGACTGCCATGGGGCAAATTAAAATTATGTAGTTTAATAAAAATTTTCAAAAAAAAATTATTTGATATCATTTTTGGATATTTTCTAGTAAAATAATACTTAAAAACACTATAAGAATAATATAAATACCGTATTTCCTATATTAGAGCCCCACCCTCTGTTAGAGCCCCACCCTCTAATACAGCCCCACTTTGGAGGATAGTTAAAAAATAGAGCCCCACCCTCAATTAGAGCCCCACCCCAAATAAAGCCCCACCTAAAAAATATTGGAGGAAAAATTATCCCAATAACTTTTTAGATGTATTAAGAGAGTTAAGGAAATAAAGGGGATGGATCTCGATGATATCGCGATCAAGAAGGAGGAGGGATCATAGGAATATAGAAATGAAAAGGAGGGGATAACTTCGATATCCGCCCAAATACTCTAGAATCGCCTATATTCCTCCAAATCCCTCCTATTATCTCCAATAAAATAAATTTATGAAGGGTTGCAATTTTTGAAGGGTTTCAATATGAAGGGTTGCAATCGTGTTAGGCACTTGGCGATAATTCGAGAGATTATTAAAGATCTATTAGAGATCTCGCTTATAATCAGTGATGAAGTTCCAAAATTTCTCCAAAATCGGTTCCAGTTCTGGAACTTGTTCAAAAGCTTCATCAAACAAAATCCCTTCATTTGCCTCCTAATACCCCTAGTCCAGAATATCCCTCTTAATCCCGCTAAATCTCTCAATATAAGCTTAATCCTCTGTATTCCCCATAATCCCTTAAAAGCCACTCTTATACCTCTGATCCATCGATGTCAAACACTAGTCCCCTAATATTTCCTTTAATCCGTCCAAATCTATTAATATTTAATATTAATCTTACTCTTATTGAATTATTGTGACTATTTTGTTATTCATTGCTTAAAAAGTTTTAATTTTTCATGAAAAATCAAAAAAAATATCGATTCGCTTTTGATATTTTCGGTTTTATCGACCATCCCCTCCGGCCTATCTCTTGTTGCAATGGACAGTTAATAAATGGGATTTTAACTCAAAGAGGGTTGAAAAATAGAGCCCCACCCTCAATTAGAGCCCCACCCTTTAATACAGCCCCACCCTGGAGGATAGTTGAAAAATAGAGCCCCATGGGGCTCTAATATAGGAAATACGGTAATTTGTTTGCGTTCCATTAAAAAAACTGGCGACTGCCCAAAAAGTTAGTTAGCGAAACAAAAAATGTTTTTCACGTGAGAGGGGAAAGGAGTATTTTGTGTGTTGTTTTTGAGGGAACGGCTGCCACTAGGCAACCAAATAAAAAAAAAGCGCCAATTTATTTGAATATATTATTCATAAATATTGTTTGTACTTGTACATATTTGGGTAAAGAATACATAAAGGCTTTAGGAAAAAAGGGGATGACTCGACGGCTTAAAAAATGGCGGAGAGAAGATTTAAAAAAATAAAGATATAAAAGTATGTATTGCTCATAATTTGTTTTTGGTTTAAAATTATCAGTTAAAAGACAAAACACAGAAACTAAAAGACCTCAAGACTTCAAGTTAAAAATGCCACGATTCATAAAGTCAAGTTTAAAATGGCAAAAAATTAAATACCGTAAATACTCTAATCCCTGGGTAATTATTGTTTCGATCTCTCGCTAGAGGGGGTAATAAATAAAGGCGGGGTAATTAATAGAGGTTATTTTAGAAAGGCCAATTATAACTATTTTTAAGGGAGTAATTAATGTTTCAACCCTTCGCTAAAGGGGGTAACTAATGCAGGTGGGGTAATTATCTGACGGAGGGACATTAATGCAGTTTTTACGGTAAGCCTAGCCTTTTGCAGAAGCCCACCTCTAATTCAAGCCCATCTAACGAGACCCATTGAAAATTAAGTCCAGGGCTTCTATTAGAGTATTTACGGTATATTAATTTTACAATCATCAAAGTTCTATAATTGTTTTTTTAAAATTTTTCCCTTCTTATCACGACATTTACGTTTATTAAATTATGTCACACATACACGTGCAACTTCATACAATTATTAAAGTTAATTTTTCTAATAATTTTTTTAATTTTTAAATTATTTATTTACTCTATTCAAAATAAACCTGATTTTAATTCAAAAACGTCAATACGTTGATCATGCGCAATAAAAATTCTTTAAAAAGTTATGTCCGCAAATTTTGTCCGCAAATTCTGTCCGCAAATATTTTGCGGACAGAAAACTTCAAAAATTAGTGTCCGCAATTATTTATCGAATAATCACAATTTCTCTCTCTTTTATTTATCACCAAAGAAGATTAATTACTTTTTTCGTATTTTTAACATCGCACAAAAATTTTTTTTCGTTTACCTTTCTCTCAAACCTCTAAAATAATTTAAAAATCGAAGCATTGTTGGGGTGACACACGTTGTTTATTGCCAGTTAACCCAAGAACGGTTGGACAGTTTAAGATGCTTTTTAAATATTTAATAGAGAATTGAATTTAGTATAAAAATTTATTTAAAATGAATAATCCATCAAAGAAAATTTTAATCGGTGAAGGAAACAATGCTACAACTAGTAATATTGTTAAAGAACAACAAGTGAATCAAACAGTTGAGTTGTATTTTGTATGTTAAGTTTTCCGGATTATTATTTCTTGATTTTTTATACTTCCTGATATAATTTATAAAAATATTCCGGAAATATTTTTTAGGAATATTTAATTTATTACTGGAAAGTTTATAAATAAATTCCGGAAAAATACATATTTTTCATGTTTCAGGAAATGTATATTCGTTTCCGGAAACCTTCCGGAAACGAATAATTGTTCCGGAATTTGTTTCTCAAAGTTCCGGAAGTGAATATTATCTGCAAGAATTTATTGCAAAATTCCGGAAACGAATATTCTTTTCCGGAAAACTTTCCGGAAGTGAACATTAGTTTCCGGAAAAATTCCGGAAACTAATATTATTTTCCGGAATTTATTTCTCAAATTTCCGGAAACAAATATTCCTTTCAGGAATTTATTCTTAATTTTCCGGAAATTAATTTACATTTCCGGAATTCAATTAATTATACCTTCCGGAATTTATACTTATATTTTCTCTAATAATTTTACATTTTCCGGGAAACCTCGTATTTTCATTTAAAGTTTCCCACAGGGTCTCCTACTAGTGAATACTCTTGGAAGCCTTGAATTACACGAATTTCTGGGTGATCAACATTCAAGCGCAGTACAACGCCTTATTGTTGCTACTATTGTTATTGTTTTAATCTCTGCTATGCTTGTAAAATTAAAAAATTTTTTTTAAAAACAAATTAAGGTAGCAACGGTCATTCTCTTTCGTTGTTACATGCTTTATTGTCAAGATCACTTAAATATTCGTCACTATCAAAGACCCCCGATTGAAGAGGAATTAAAGGGGGAAGAGTCTAAATGTGGTAATCTGTCCCTATTAAATTTAAAAAATGAAAAAGAAGAAAAAGGGTTGTTTAACCCCATAAAGAAGACAACAACCACCTTTGAAAATTTAGAAAAAAATTTGTTAAAAAATGAAAATGGAGGAGTTAAACGATATTATAATAACAATAATAAATGTATTTCAAGTAAATATTCTTTTAAAAATATTTTTGATGATGATTAATAATTAAATAAATATTTTTAAATTATTTATTAGTTTGTGAGTGTTTCTGCTCCTTATGAGGGAGTCAGACATCGGGACTGACATTAGGGGTATTTCAATAAACAAGCAACTACACTACTGGTTTCAGGACCTATGACCACTGGGTCTTGGATAGCCTTCTTAAAAAAAGTTTTTATGTTGTAGAATCAACGTAAATACGGAAGAAGTTATTTTTGTCAATGCAATCCTGATATGCCTCTCTACTCCTTTAGGGGGTTTATTGGAGGTATTAGAACCAAATAAAAAATATTTTTTGATCTGGGGATACTTCAATGTACTAGCAACTACATCATTGCTGGATCCTGGATAGCACATTGTCTCATTAAAGAAAAGTTGGGAGAAGTTATTTTTGTCTGCGCAATCCCAATCCCTACCCTTTAGAGGGGTTTATTGAGGGTATTAGAACCAAATAAAAATTATTTTTACATTTTAAATTGACATATATATTTTTTTGCTTAATTTTTACATGCTTAATCCTATTTAAAATTTAAAAATATGAAAACATTTTTATTAAAAAAATTTTTTTTGGAATGGAAAAGTGAAAAGGGGAGGAGATTTGAACAACAGAATGGTTTAAAACAATTTTTAAAAAATTGAAAGCGAAAGAGATTAAAAAATATTTTTATTTATCTAATCTATACTCCTTTCCACCTATTTTTGAATAGCTTTTCTAGCTTATTATATTATTATTAAATAAAAATATTGACCTGATAACACGGATTTAATTCCTCTGGCGGCTTCTCACAGTTGTTGTTTGTTTTGATTTTTATTTTCTTCCTTTTTTCATCCAAGATTGGGGGGTTGCTAATAAAAATTGACATTTAAGAGTCGAGAAATATTTATTTTTTCTATCCTTGATCTTTTGGATATTAATTCCTTCAAGAGATCCTCCCCAAAACTATCCCCACAAATTCCTCCACTGCTTAAAAACAAAGAACAAAGGCTAAAAATATTAAAGAATTTTGAGATAGAAAAGGGAGATGCTTTTGTTACACTTTTTTTATTTTTATATAATTTAGGCAGCACAATATTAGATTTAATAAATTGATGAGCGCGAACATTAAAAAATATTTTTAAATTAATTTATATATTTAAAAATGTTTTTGTATATGTTTTGCTTCAAGTTTATATTTTAATTGTTTTTATTTCTCTTTTCTGTGTTTCAAGTTTTATTTCCAAGTTTTATTTAATTTTACAATTCAAGTTTATTTTATTCAAGTTTATTTTTAATTATAAAACATGTTTTGTTTCAAGTTTAATTTAAAGTTGTAAAAACATTTTTTGCTTCAAGTTTAATTTAAAGTTTTAAAACATGTTTTGCTTCAAGTTTAATTTAAAGTTTAATATAATGTTTTATTTTATTCTATTCAAGTTCATTTAAATTTACTATTAATAAATATTCAAGTTTGTAAAATCAACTTTAAATTAATTTTCAAGTTTACCTCAAAACCTACTTTTTATCTTTAAAGTATTTTTACAACCTGTAATACTTTTATTCTTTAAAATACAATTAAAAATCTGAAGCAGGTTTTATTCTAGTTTTAAATTGTTTTTTATTTTATCGGTAATCCTTTCCATTCGTTTTTTATCGTTTTCTTTAAATTGTTCCACTGATTATGCTATTTTTACAAGATTAATTAACCAAAAGGAATATGAATCTAATGAGTTGGAAAATTCGGGAATGAAGGGAAAAAACAGAAAAAAATACTTTCATCTGTCTAAAACAGCGGGAAATCGCGCCGAGTAAATACCCAGAGAATTCTCTCCTGGATCATTAATATTTCTTTCTAAAAAATTTATTCATTTTTAATCAATTTTATAGGTAAAACAATTAAATAATTAGATGATTAAACTATTTATTCGAATATTTCTATTTCCCCTTTTAATTTTATTTTTTGAATTTATCAAAGTTGAAGCACTTGCTTCAGTCTTAATATCATCCCCCTTTGACAATTTTCGTATAGAATGTCCACAAACTTCGGGTGCCCAAAGATTGGCAATAAGAATGGTGGAGTCACAAGGGCAGAAGAGACAAGATACCGTTTTTGTTTTGAGTTGTCAACAAATTGGGGAGGTTAATAAATTTTTTTAATTGAAAATACAAGGGTTGAAGCAAAAATTCTGAGAAAGCAAAAATTGAAGCAAAAAGTTGAAGCAAAAAGTTGAAGCAAAAATTTTGCTTCAAAAAATATTAAGCAAAAATTATTTGAAAAACTAAGAAAAATTGAATTTTAAAGTTATATCCATGGCTAGAAATACCAGAAGAATTAGCCGATCAAGAACATGAAGAATGCCACTATACACAACAATTTGATATTTTGCTGGACAAACAAATGAATTGGACGTGTTCAGAGAGGGAATACCTTGCTGGAATAGCACGCTTGTCTGATACAAGAATACAATTAGAATGCTGCAAATTGCGGACTAGAAACGAGGGAAATTGTGTTGAGTATGACTATGAAAAACCCGCAGGGAGTGGGGCACGTGTTGAGATTGAATACCAAGGAAAATTAATTAATGCTTTGGCCGTCTATGGAGATTTAATTCGTGTACGTTTCTGTGATTTGTCGCCTAGACCTATTGGTAGGGGATTTTCCAAAAATTCGGAAAAAAAATTAAAAAATAAATTAGATGATATAATGGCTGAAACAACAAGAACAACCCCAACAACCCCCACAATAGCCATTGCTCACGCGGTGACTAGCAATGGAAATTTTGGATTTTCTTTAAAACCGCCAACCAATTCTGTTGGGTTTAGCCAAAGAATTGAAGTTCCTTCTCTTCTTAATGATCCTCGAACAATTGCTAAGCAGCGTGCAACAGCAACAATAGCTCTTCAAAATCAGCTTAGTAATAGTCCGAATGTTCCACCCCCGATAAATGAAGAACTGCCTCCAGCAAACTTAGCCGATGGAGTGGATGAAGCATTCTCAATAGACGGGGCTCAACAACATACCGAGAGGGAAAAATTTAATCAAGAAATAAAACAAAATATGGAAAGCAGAAACAATGCCCAAGTTGTAGAGCAACATGTTGAAGCTGTTCAACAACAAGTTCAAAGTGTACATCCTCAAAATAGTGAGCCCATTCAAAGTCAAGTTCATCCAGATACTCAGGAAGCTAAAATAAATAATGAAGAAAAAGAACGGCATCAAATTCAAGCAGTTCAGGAACAAAGTCATACTCCTGAGGCTGTTCAACAAAGGACAGAAATAAAGGTTCAGGATAAAAATATAAGAGATAAGGATATAGAACAACAAACGACGTTAAAGCCTGTAATAACCGTTGAATCAATGTTAGAAATGTCACCTATAAACGTTAAAAAATCAACAAAACCAGAACAACCGTCAATAACTCCTGAAGGACAAGAACAACAAAATACGGAAAGAAACAAAAATGCAGAAAGTGCTTCACCAAGAATTAAAGTATACGGACACAATCCATTTAAAACAATTCAATTTGGTCGTATCCTACAAGCAGTTGGCGAACGCAAAAAGGAATTGGCAGTGAAAATTTTGAGGCATCATAAAAACCCACCAGATCATGTTCAAAGTTTGGAATATGGAAGAGAACAAAAACATGATGACAAAAGATTAGAGGAAAGACAGAAACAAGAGCAACAAAAACTAGTAGAAAAACAACAAACACACAACGAACAATCACAACAAGGAAAAATACAAAATGAAAAACAAGTGATAGAGCAAGAAAAACAACGTAACGAACAACAAACATTATTAGAACAATCAAAACATGCAATAGAAGAACAATATGAAAAACAACAAACACAACAAGAAAATCAACAAAACAACAATCAACAAACAAAAGAAGAACCTAAACAACAACACTCTCAACAACAAGAGGAACAAAAACATGAAGCAAAACAAGAGGAAAAACATAAGGAAAAACATGAGGAAAAACATGAGGAAAAACAAGATGAAAAACAACATCAAGAAACACAACAAATTAAAGAAGCGGAACAAAACAAAAAAGAAAAACAAACACCACAACACTTGGAAAACTCAATATCAAAAGCTTTAGCTGCAAAAAAACAAATATACGAACCAATAAAATCTAATTTATTGTTAAGGCGTAAGGGAATGCGTGAACATACTTTTACGTTAACCCCGCCAAGACCTGTTGATGTTTCTGCTGGAATTAGTAATGGAGTTGAAGATAGAGAAAGGGCTGAGCTGACAATTCAACGAAGAGTAGACGCTATTAGGGCCGTAGAAAAAAGGCTCCAAGTAAAAACTATTCAGATTCCTAGAGAGGAAGGTGTGGAAATGGAAAGAATTTCAAATGCAGGTTAATTCATTAAATAATTTGTTTGGACAATATTAAAACAATTAAATGTTTTGATGTTGGAATGTTTCCGGAAAAAAATTTAAAGTTTGAATGTTTTCAGGAAAATATTTAAATGTTCGGATGATTGTTTTCCGGAAAATATTTCAACGTTTGGATGATTGTTTTTCGGAAAATAATTGAATGTTTGGATGTTTTCCGGAAAATAATTGAATGTTTGGATGTTTTCCGGAAAATGTTTCAATTATGTTTTTAAAACAATGTTTATCTAAACATTGTTTAGTGAAATGTTTATATGTTTGAATGTTTATATGAAATTTTTATATGCTTTTATGAAAACATTTAAAACAATTTTTATTTTAAGCTGACTCAAACTCAACTGAAAACATCATTGCAGCCAAACAAAGCGATTGGGAGAATAATTCTGAAACAATGGATCAAATTTCCCCGAAAATTTCAAACGGTGATTCAGGTGATGGTGAAGCTATGCATCGAATATTATTTGGAGAACCTGTCCAAATTACACCAAAAAGTGTTTCGAGTAAATTTAAAGAAGCAAATGTTTCTCAAGCTTTGGAACAAGTAAAAACTTTGGAACAAGATTCAAATAAAATTGAGAATAAGCAACCAAAGACAGAAACAATTAATTTATCCAGCTT